CAGGTGCTGATATAGTACCCTCAGCTTCTTATCTTCTATGAGAATTTTATCTTCCATTAACTGCCAAAAAGTAAAAGAAGCGAGAAGTTGATCTGTGTGGCTCAAGCCACAGAGACTGCTTCCTTTGAGGGAAAACAAACAACAAAAATCCTCATACACAGTGGCCCTGCCCTGCTTTCAAACCCAGGAAGTGATCAGGCCCTATGTTCAAGCCCTAGGACCACCACCACCAACAACAAAAGAATGACACAGGGACTAGGCCCAGAATTCAAGCCCTAGGAACAGCATCAAAAATAAAAGAAAAATAAATTCAGAGACTGCGGCTAGGCTCCAGAGTTCAAGCTCTAGAACCAGCACCAGGACACACACACACACACACACACACACACACACACACACACACACACACACACGAGAAATGAACAAAATAATGAGAAGATGGCAAAAAAAGAGAAAAGTCAATGAAATATTTTTAAGTAGTAGTTCATGCCTATAATCCTAGCTACTGTAGAAGCTGAAATCTTAGGATTGTGGTTCATAGTCAGCCTGGGCATGACACTTGTTTTTATGTGTGCCAGTACTGGGGCCTGAACTTGTGCTGTTTTGCACAAGACTAAAACTATACTACTTCCAAACACTTGGTGATTAATTGGAGATGAGAGTCTCAACAACTTTCCTGCCCAGGCTGACTCTGAACCACTATCCTCTGATTTTAGAGCCTGGGTAATGTCCCTGTCTTCCCATGAGAATCTATTTTTTTGGTTGGCCATGGGGCTTGAACTCGGCCTACACACTGTCCCTCAGCTCTTCAACTCAAGTCTAGTGCTCTACCTCTTGAGCCACAGTGCCACTTCTGGTTTTTTGGTGGTTTATTGGAGATAATTGTCTCACGGACTTTCCTTCCCAGGCTGGCTTTGAACTGCAATCCTCAGATCTCAGCCTCCTGAGTAGCTAGGATTACAGGCGTAAGCCCCTGGCACCCAGCTTTCTTTTTATTTTTTCTTTTTTGTGGGTCATGGCGCCCACTCTAGCTCTGGATGCTGTCCCTTAGCTCTTCAGCTCAAGGTAAGCACTTTACCACTGAGCCACCTTCCCAGCTCCCCCATGAGACACTTATCAGCTATGAATCACCAAATTTGTTTTACAAAGCCAGATGTTGAGATGCATCTCAAGATTCAGAGCCTGTCAGCCTTGCTCAGGACAGGGGAGAGACTCCTGCACAGTGACCTTGCCCTGATTTCAGGTCTAGGAACAGTCACCACTCCCTGTGTTCCAGCCCTAGGACCAGAACCAAAAAATAAATAACTCCCCCATTTTCACTGTATTTGATGTTGGTATAATTTGTGAAGGGGAAGGGGAAAAACAAATTGTTTAAATAGGGATACAGGTGGACCTATTGCAACAATGAGATGTACAAGACATTATGTCAAAAAATGAACTTTACAGCTTTTGCCTGAGGGGGGCAGGGGGATAGGAACGGGGGGGGGGGGGGGGGGAGGGGGGAGAACATTATATAAACAAAGCCATCAATGAAGCTGCGGCTCAAGCTGTCACAGTCTGCTAGTCTTGAGAAAAACAATACAAAAAATGCTTCATTCATAGTGGCCCTGCCCTGACTTCAAGCAGGAGAGTGGCCATGTCATGAGTTTAAGCCCTAGCACCAAAAATGAATGAATGAATAAATAAATAAATAAATAGAGCCAGAACTTTATCTGTGGCTCAAGCCATGGAGACTGCTAGTCTTGAGAAAGAAAGGGAAAAACCTCAGACACAGTGGCTCTGCCCTGATTTTATGACTAGCAAAAGTTAAGGCCCTATATTCAAGCCCTAGGACTAGCAATAAAGAAAAAACAAAACAAAACAAAAACAACAACAACAAAAACTTGGCAAAAACTCTGCAAAAAAGCCCAAGTCCTAAGTTCAAGCCAGAGGATCAGCACCTAAAATAAATGCAGAAAGAAAGACAAATACCTAAAGAGCCACAATTTAAACTGTGTCTTGAGGTGGGAAGCCTACTAGCCTTGAGAAAAAATTAGGAACAATGACCAGCCCTTGAGTTCAAGTACTATAACAAGCTCCAAAACAACCAATAAAACGCAAAACAAAAACCTCAGAAAGAATGGCCAGGCCTAAATAATAAGCTAGATGACATGAACTTACAAAAAAGAGAAAAGGAATAAAAAATTAAGTGAAAAGGAGGGAAAAATATTAGAGGCAATTCAAGATTTTAAAACATATGGTTCATACCTATAATCCTACCTGCTCAGAGGGCTGAAATCTGAGCATTTGTGTTTTGAATCCAGCTTGGGCAGGAAAGTCCATGAGAATTCTTTTCATTTGTGCTATTCCTGGGCTTGAACTTGGGGAGTTTTGCTCAAAGGTAGAGCTCTACTGCTTCCTACCTATTGCTGGTTAATTGGTGAAAAACATCTCATGGATTTTCATGCCTAGGATGGCTTTGAACCTTGGCTCTCAACTTTCAAGACTCTGTATCGTCATCTTGGCTTCTTGTAGTACTCTTTTCCTTTCTGTACTTTTTGTCAGTTGTGGGGTTTGAACTCAGGACCTGTGTGCTGTCCCTGAGCCTCTTGTACTCAAGGCTTGTGCTCTACCACTTGTGCTATAGCACCACTTCTGGGTTTTGAGTGGTTAATTGGACATAAGAGTCTCACAAGGGAACTGGGAAAGTGTCTCAGTGGTAAAGCGCTTGCCTTGCATGCTTGAGGCCCTGGGTTCAATTCCTCAGCACCACATAAGTAGGAAAAAAAAGCTGGAAGTGATGCTGTGGCTCAAGTGGTAGAGTGCTAGCCTTGAGCTGAAGAGCTGAAGGACAGCAACAGGCCCAGAGTTCAGGCCCAAGACCGGACCCCCCGCCCCCCCAAAAAAAGAAGCTCAGGGACAGTGACCAGGCAGAAGAGTTCAAGCCCCAAGACCGGCAAAAAGAAACAAAGAAAAAAGAAAGTGAGTAATTAAGCTGTGGCTCAAGGTATGAAACCTGTTAGCCTGGAGAAAAAAGGTAAAAAACGTAAAGAAAATTTTAAAAAGAAATTATTCCCAGTACCACACCCTCCAGTGAACTTTTCCCTACATCCTTAGTGTGCAGACAACCAGGCCAATGCCCCTGCTATATCCTATGTCTCAATGGCAAAAATTTCAATTATTTGAAAGCTGCCTTCCAAGAATTGCCACATGGGACCACATGGGGAATTATTGACCACATGCAATTATTGACCTCAAAAATATTTATTAACATGATTTCTTTTATTCTTGTGATTTTTCTATGTCCTTCTCATCATTACTTCCCTAGCACCTAGCAAATTACCTGGAATAGAAATAGAGAGACATGTCTGCTTACTGAACATCTACATGTATATTTAGAATACTAAGCTAGTTTCAATGGGGTCATCAACACTGATGATTTTTTACTATGAGCCTCATACTTTGTAAAAAACAAAACAAAACACATTTTACCCTCAAGAACTCTACATTTGCCAGTTGGCAGTCACTGATACTGTCATCCTAGTTACTAAAGGGAAGGAGGTGCTTGTGTTGTTCAAAAATATTGTTGTTATAAAGATAAGGAAAAGCTGATAAATTATTATAGACTAAAAGAGATCAAGTATGCACAACTACATATAATTCATGATCATGTATTGGTTTTTAGAGAAAAAAAATTGATAGGGACAGAATTGAGCCAATTGGCAAAACTGGAATATAGACAAAAGATTAAGCAAAAGTATGGCATTGTGATTAATTTACTGAAGCTGATAACTATACTGTGGCTATGTAATAACGGGACATTTTTGTCCTGAGATCAAGATTAAAATATGTAGGAATAGAGAACTATGAAATACACAATTTAATCTCAAATGTATGTCCACAAAGAGAACATACATGCAAGCATAACTGATTAAGCAAATGAAGGAAAATATTAACCAACTGAATTTGCATAAAAATCACAGAAATAGTTTATATTCTTTTTGTGACTTTTCCTAAATTTGACCATTTTTAAACAATACTAGATTGAATAGTGAAGAGATGCACTTGAACTGCAGAAGATGAGTTCCTGGGGATTGTTCTGAGAGGGCTTCATGGAGAATGCATGCATTGGGGGATAAGAATAAAAGATCAAGTGTTACCATATGAAAATTAGGGAAATCCAAACATTCAGACTACAACAATAAAGTACCAAGAGTAAGAAAATTCACAGATACAGAAAATAACTCAGGGCTACTGTGGGTTGAGGGATGAATGGTTTAATGGCCCAAAATTTTTGTTGAGGGTGATGGATATGTTTGGGATAAGATAAAGGTGATGGTTCTACAATACTGGAAATGTACTGAATGTCACTGAATTGTGGTTATAATAATAAATGTTATTACTATTTCCCCATAAAGAATAAAAAAATCATCCCAGTTTAGAGGCTACTGTTTGCAGGAAACTCCCTGACATTATATACTCACAGGAAACTGTACTCTTTATTTCCTACATTCAGTAGATTTTAAACATGTATTTCTTTATGTGTTTTTTTCTTTTTTTGAGGTAGAACTTTGCTAGCACAGGCCGGCCAGGAATTTGCAATTCTGCTACTTTGTTCCTTGAGGAATGTCTTTCTTCTACCCAAGACATTCCATAATAAAATTTATTTTCTAATAACAAAAACAAAAAGATCAAGTGTTACGTTCCTTACCCTAGGACTTAGGAGCTGACTTATATCAGCTCCCTCTGTCCAGAAAGCATTGTGTGCCTGGTGCTTACTGGTTTATAGAATGTCTCCTGAGCCTGGGAAAGATAGGCATAAAAGGAAAAAGCATCCCTTGTCCTGTGCATGAGCAGGCAACCGAATATATGTTGTATTAAATATTTCTCTGGATATAGAACCTCCCTACCCCTCTCTGACCTTGGATATGCATATAGCTCCCAAGTCACCAACAAAGAGCAAGGCTTTGCCCAAGGCTCTTACTTCCCTATGGTAAATGGTTACTATCTCAGTTTTTAATTCACTGAAGTGTCACAAATAAATGAATCAAAATCACCAAGAAGTAATAACCTACCCTGGCAAGTTTGTCTGGTTTGCAGGAGATGTACAACTGGGAAAACAGCTCTGTTATCCCTTCAGAAAAATTCTCATCTCCTGAAAAAAACAAAGTCTCACATGAAAAATATTCCAGCAAAACTGCTGAGGTTCACAAGAAAGGTAAGAAGGAAGAGGAGTGAAGGCAGCAGAAGTATTCATAACAATTTAATGAGCATGGAATATGAGTGCTTATACAATTTTTTTCCTTTCCTTCTGAAGGTTTTCTGATGCATTGTCATCATTATCCAGTCTTTCACTTAATGTCCAATTAAGACAAACATTTCTGACACTTTTCTTCCACCACTGGTTAAGCTGAAGCTACAGGTGCTAGGGATAATAATAATCACTCGGCATTCTGAGCTTTCTTGGCAGACTTGGTGGCCTTGCCAGCTCCAGCAGACTTCTTGTCCACAGCTTTGATGCCACACACAGCAACTATCTCCTATTACAAACAGCAAGATGATCCAGAGGAGCATAATCAGAGAAGCTCTCCACATACACAGGCTTGCTGGAACCATATGAAGCATGACAGCATCACTACACTTCAGGAATTTAGGACTAGCTTCCAGCTTCTTACCAGCTCTGTGTTCAAGCTTCTCTTTCCACTCAGTAAACTTGCAAGCAATTTAAGCTGAGTGACAATCCAGGACAGAGGCATAGGAAGCACTAGTTTGGCCTGGATGGTTCAGGAAGGTCACCCAAGCTGTGAAGCTAAATGCTTCCTTGGGTGGATCATTCTTGTTGTCACCACCAACATTGCCATGGCAAACATCTTTGGCTGACATGCTTATAGAATTTTTTTGTGCACAGTATGTCAACGGATGTTCTTAATGGGCTTATAAGAGAATTGGGTATTATCACACTTGGGCGATAAAGATAATGAAGGCTGGAAGAGGTCAAGAATTTCTACAAGATCTCCTAGCAAAGATCAGAAGTTAAACCTTGGCCTCCACTCTCAATGTTCTTTGCACCACATTACCGAAGAATGAATGGAGAGTATGAAGCAGATATTATATAAAGAAAATGGAATTCACGGCTGGGAATGTGGCTTAGTAGTAGATTTTTTACCTTGCATGCATGAAGCCCTGAGTTTGATTCCTCAGTACCACACAAACAGAAAGAGCTGGAGGTGGCACTGTGGCACAAGTGGTAGAGCATTAGACTTCAGCACAAAGAGGCTCAGGGACAGAGTCCAGGCCCTGAGTTCAAGCCCCAGGACCAGAAAAAAAGAAAAAGAATAAAAGAAAATGGAATTCAAGTTGGGACAGTAAGACTCCAGGAGAATCCAGGTTATCCAAGAAAATGGGAAGAGTTTCAGGCAGAGAAAATGAGTGCCAAGATTAGGGGGATGAAAGCATAGCAGGAAGTTTAGAATAAGCAAAGGAAAAAAAACAACAAAGTAGGATCCAGCTAAGACTGAGCCTTTATACCCTCTTAATATTTCAAAGTTTCTACCAAAGAGATGAGGAACTACTGATGATTTTTAAAACAGAGACAGGTAAGATCAAATTTAAATCAAAGGAAGATCACTTTAGTGGCTGAGTAGAGAACTGATCAGCACTAATCTAGGAATAAACAAGAAAGTAAAATTGAGTCAATAATCTATGATCCAAGTAAGAGACGGTGATGTGTAAATCAGGGGGAGAAAGGATTCTTAAATGTTGGAAGGGTGCTAAGGAAAATGTTGAAATTATCATGAAGATGGGAACACAGAATACCTTAGTAGAGAAACATGCAAACATAAGGATAAGTCAAGAGCAAACTATAATCAAGACAGACAAACAAATTGTCAGGAAATATTCCTTCTCTCTTCACACACCTAAATCCTATCCATTCACCCCCTTTGAGACCAGCCTAACGTTTTAGACTTTAGAATCTGTATATTTATTAATCACCAGTCTATAGCTTCAAAGGGCAAATTATTACTTCTTTATACCTGCCATTGTCCCCAAAAGTCCCTGGTTGGTGGGAGGGGGGAATGTATCATGGCTCATTTGTCCCTCTCAGTTGGCATTTGAGAGAATTAAAAAGACTTAGCAATCCAAGTCTAACATGGATTGTGAAGGTGATCTCATTAATACCATCCTTACCTATGTACCTCATTTAAGCAGCATTTAATTATATCCTACTATGAAAAAAAAATCTAAAACCTGGCTTGTAGGTTGTCATTCCAACTAAATCCTACTGGGTGCAAGAAATTAATCTGAAAACATAATGAGATACCTATATCACAAAGTATTGACAAAATGATCCAATGGCATGCAGAATTTTTTATTTATATTTATCTCATTCTGTTCTAAACATATTTAATATATACTTAGAATATAATTAATATTTGAATATGTACATTTAATTTACAAATGTTCAAATATACAATGTGTTATGTTTGAGTTTATTTAAATAAACTTTTTTTTGGTAAGAGTTATGAACAAAAAGGAAATGGGTCACTGTTGTGGCTCATGTCTGTAATCCTAGCTATTTGGGAGGTGAGAATGGAGAATTGTAATTTGAGGTCAGCCTTAGCAGCACACTTTGTGAGATCCCCTTCTCAGCCATAGCCTGGTACAGTAGTATCTGCTCATCCTCCTACATTAATGTGAGAGGCCAAAATTAAGAGGATCTCAGTTCCAGCCCAACCTGGGCAGAAAATTTTAGGAGATTCCATCTCAACAGAGAAGCTGAACACAGTGGCAAGTGCCTGTGATCCTAACAATGACAGGAAGACTGAAATGGGTAACTGTAGTTCAGGCATGCATCCAGGAAAGATCAGACTCTCCCTGAAAACAGTCAAGGGAAAAAAGGGCCCAAGGCATGGCTCAGTGGTAGCGTGCCTGCCTACCGACTTTGAGTGAGCTGAGCTCAAACCCCAGTACCACCATAAACAAAGGTAAACAATGGTGGAAGATCACAGCCAAATGCTTTCCACAGAATGAAATATATATTGGGCAGGAGTGTGGCTCAGTATTAGGCTAGAGGTGGAACTCTGTGGTAGAGGACTTGGCTGAGGCTCTGTGTTTGGGGACTGGCACTGCGGTAAGGAGAAGTTGCATTGAAAGTATGTAGGATGGTGCTGGTGGTTCATGGCTATAATCACAACTACTCAGGAGGATGAGACTTGGAGAATGGACCTTTTAAGCCAGCCAGGCAGAAAATTCTGTTTAGATCTATCTCCACTTAGCAAGAAAAAGACAGACTGGTATCTTGGTTCAGACTGGTAAGACATCAGCTCAGTTCAAACTGTGGTCCTGGCACCAAAAACAACAATAAATAAATAAAATAATAAAGTGTGGGCTTTGGAGGAACTTTGCAAGAAGGAAGGACTCTCCCAAAATAGGAAGACATATTCTTAGGCAAAGGGATGGTAAGGACCAAGGATGCTGATGGAAAAAGTTGACCAACACTGCCACAACACCAGGTTCCTAAATTTATCCCCCATTAGCTACTTCCATTTTTTCCGTACTTCATTGAGATATCATTAAATGCCAACATCACTGCTGAATTTTCAACAAATATCACTGAGGAGGGCTGGCACAGAGTGTGAGAGGAGCTGGGAAGGAGTCTGTTTTCGGAGTCATTTCTGGTGAACATAATAGACAAAAATCCAACTGTTTAGAAAATCCCTCCAAGTCCTCTGAATGGTATTTAAAGATCAAGAGTCCCATTCGTGGGCCAAACGAGATGCTGATTACATGAATGAATGCTGTTAATTGCACAAATAAGTTTATAAATAACACAATTGTCATATTGAGGCCTAGTTAGAAAACAATGCAACTATCTAAACACGTCACAATGGCTTTATGTGTTTCCTAAGTTAAGCCATCTAAAAAGAAGATTTTTTATCTATTATATCTTTGGAATCATGAAAATAATTAGCATCTCTTAGTTAAGACTATTATACAGTATTTATTTTTCTGGTTGTGGAGCCTGAACTCTGGGCCTGGACACTGTCCTCGGCTCTTCAGCTCAATGCTAGCATTCTACCACTTGAGCCACAGTGCCACTTCGACTTTTTCTGCTTATGTGATGCTGAGGAACTGAACGCAGGGCCTCATGCATTCAAGGCAAGCACTTTACCACTGAATCACCTTCCCAGCCCCTGAATAAAGTATTTCATTTAGTACTTATTTTAACAACCTGTGAGGAATTAGATTGGGTTACCTTATAGATGAGAAAACAGCTCAGTATCAAGGAACTTTTCAAGGTCACATGGCTTTAGTAAATGACAGATCTTCATTTTAACACAGTGGAAAACTCCAAAGCCCATCATAGTTAGCTGCCATCTCAATATTTCAGAACAACATTAAGAACTTACATTCAAAAAACTTTTTTCTTTTGTGCAAGTCATGGGGCATGAACTCAGGGCCTGGGTGTTTTCCCTGAGCTGTTTCAGCTCAAATCTAACACTCTATCACTTGAACTACAGCTCCACTTTGGGCTTTGGGTATTTAACTGGGGATCAGAGTCTCACAGACTTTGCTGGTGAGCTGGCTTTAAACCCAGATCTTGGATCTCAGCTTCCTAAGTGGCTAGGTTTACAGGTGTGAGCCATTAGAAAATATTTTCTAATCAGGAAGCAAGCTTTTACATAGACTAAGTAGTCATTTATTAGTAAAGTGTTATACAACTGTCTAGTTTGAACTCTTAGAACACACTGCTGAAAACAACAAACAAAAAAGAAAATGTCCCAGTCTGCATAAAATCTGTACTCAAGGAGTAAAGAAAGTCCCTCCCTGAGAAATGTTCAGTCTTTCTGTAGAAAACTTGAAGACTAGTTATTTTACAATAGATTAGAAATAGAAAAAAACCAAATGAGGTTAAGAGGATATTAGTGACAAGCACACTCACAGTTCAAAGAAGTAAAAGAGAAAGCCATCTTTAAATGCCCTGACATTTGGAAAATTTTAATTTGGCAGCCCTCATACTAGTCTCAGGACCTCTTAATACTTTTAAATTTTTGAGAGCCCCCAGAGAGCTAATTAAAAATGTAAGTAGACAGGCTTGGAAGGTGGCTCAGTGGTAGAGTGCTTGCTTTGCATGCATGAGGTCCTGGGTTGGATTCCTCAGCACCACATAAGTAGAAAAAGCCAGAAGTGGCACTGTGGCTTAAGTGGTAGAGTGCTAGCCTTGAGCTTGAGAGCTGAGGGACAGTGCCCAGGCCCAGAGTTTAGGCCCCACAACTGATAAAAACAATGTAAGTAGAGGTAGGAACTGGTGGCTCTCACCAGTAATCCTAGCTACAGATTTGGGAGACTGAGAGCCATAGATTGCTATTAAAAGCTAGCTGGCTTCCAATGTATAACCCCTGTTTTCACTGTATTGTATGTTGGTATAATTTGTGGAGGGGAAAGGAAAAACAAAGTGTTTAAATAGGGATACAGGTGGACCCACTGCAACAATGAGATGTACAAGACTTTATGAAAAAAGAAGTTTACAACTTTAGCGGGGGAGAGGGGTATTATGGGGGAGTAGGGGAGATGGGAAGTGGGGGGAAGGGGAAACAAAGGAGGAAGCAACAATGCTTGATAAGAAATGTACTCATTACCTTACTCATGTAATTGTAACCCTTCTGTACAGTATTTTCACAATAAAAAAAAACACAAATTAGAGGGGGAAAAAAGCTAGCTGGAGCAGGAAAGTCAGTGAGACTCTTATTTCCAATAAACTATTCAGAAAAAAAAACAAAACAAACAAAAAACAAAGTACACCTGTGACTCAAGTGGTAGAGTGCAGCTCAGGATCAATGCCTAGGTGCTGAATTCAAGCCCAGGACTGGCACAAAAATAAATTAAATAAAAAATAAGGGATACACACACACACATACACACACTAAAGAAACAGACAGATACAGACAGATATGTTACAAAGTAGAACACATCCAATGAGCAAAGCATCAGGTATTGAGTTCAAGTCCTAGTTTCACATCCCAAACAAAAGAAAAATTAGAACTGAAGTGCTTATGGTAGTTTTGCAAACTTAAGAAAAAAAAAAACAGTACTTGTTAATATACATTTATTGAAAATAACTGTAATTTCCACAAAAGGCAAAATTTCAGCAGAATAATACCATTGTTTTACATTTTTAATGAATCTCTTTATCCTTTAGCCTAATGAAAGACACATGTATTTTCTTATCTGCTTTTACATTCTGTCTGCTGGGGTATGTTGTTTTAAGTATATGAAGGAAATCTACCTCACAAAGTCACTTAGTTAGAAAAGGAAGAAGTTTTAGTAGCCTTCTCAGATTATCAGTAAAGGTAATGCTTACATATTCCTTAATACTATACTAAAACTCAACTAGTGTCATCTCTTAAAATTTAGTTGTAATGATATACATAGCAATGAGCCTGAAGCTATACCATAAGATTTTCTGATTGGATGTATTAAATTAAAATCCATTAGTCTTTTTTTTCTTTTGCCTGTGCATGATTTGCTAACATCACACATTAAATAATGGGAAAATACTCACTCTGAGTCACACAAATCTTCCAAATGCTGACCAACTGTCTTGAAATGAATGAATATAGCTGTTATTTTCAACACAGATTTCATCAGCATAGTCTGTAAACAGCACTGGGAAGCTACAAAGCTCAACAGATCAATAAATACATTCTACAAAATTGAAACTTAGTTTGAATGTATATCATGACTCATACATAGTTGCTTTTCTTGTTGTAAAGGCTCATTTCATTCACTTTTAAGAAATGTTCACCAAATAGAATTCTAGTCTCTGGGCTGGGAAGGTGGCTCAGTGGTAGAGTGCTTGCCTTGCATGCATGAAGCCCTGGGTTCGATTCCTCAGAACCACATAAGCAAAAAGAAAAAAGCCGGAAGTGGCTCTGTGACTCAATTGGTAGAGCGCTAACTTTGAGCTGAGGAGATGAGGGACAGCGCCCAGGTCCAGAGTTCAGGCCCCACGACCAGACCCCCCCCCAAAAAAAAAGAATTCTAATCTCTGTGACCACTTGTATACTTCATAGTGAAAATGGCATTCCATGGCAAAGCATGTAGTTCAATTAAACACTACAAATGGGCTAGGCACTGGTGTCTCATGCCTGTAATCCTAGCTACTCAGGAAACTAAGACCTAAAGATCATGGTTCAAAGCCAGCTCAGGCAGGAAAGTCTGTGAGACTCTTTCTCCAATAAACTACTAAAAAGAAGACAGAAGTGGTGCTGTGGTTCAAGTGGTAGTGCACTACCCATGAGCAAAAAAAGTTTAGGGTACTACCCAAGCCCTAAGTTCAAATCCTAGGACCAGCTTAAAAGAAAAATTCAAAAGTGAATTCATTCATTCCACTTTTTAAAAATATCCAATTAGCAAAGAATATGTTACAAATATATTTAATTAAATGTTAAAATAAAACAAACCTAATGATTCATTTGTCCAGAAATTATATTTTATATTAACTGCCACATTACCTAATTACTGTAAAAAATGAGCAGCTTCAACATTCATATTTCGTAAGAGATACAGCAGGCTTTAAATTGTGGAGACGGGAGGGGGGAAGAGTGTCACTCACATTTTAGGTACTCAATTCAAGATGGGATTAAGGGTCCCACAAGTCACAAGGTACAGCTGAAGTATCCAGAGATATAAGGAAATGTCAGTCAAACTGAAGACAAACTCTGAAAAGAGCAGTCTTTAACTGTAAACACTGGCAGGGGTATATGAACAATATCAGTATGAGGGATGCTAAAAGGAGTCTGACAGGAAAAAAAAAAGAAGACATAAGCAAGAGGCTGACATGTCTGAACACCTAGACAGGGGGAAAGTTGCAAAAAGGATTCTACATGAAAATTCTCACTGCAAAAATGAGAGAGATGCAGGGTACCAGTGGCTATCCTTGTCACACTGCTACTTAGGTGGCTGAGATCTGGGGATCATAGTTGGAAGCCAGCCTAGGAAGATAACTCCAAGAGAGTCCTATCTCTAATCACAAAAAAAGCTGGAAGTAGAGGTGTGGCTCAAGTCCTTGAGGGCCTAACTTTAAGCAAAAAGCTCAGGGACAGCAAACAGACCTTGAGTTCAAGCCCCAGGACCAGCATAGGTGGTGTGAGCGCGTGCACACATACACACAATTTACTGTAGTTTACTCAAGGCAAAATATAAATACACTGCATCTTCACACTCAGATTCTGAATTTTCATATTACCTTTCTTCTTTTCTTCCTCTTCCTCACAAAATTCTGCTAGGGAAAATGAGTCTTTGAGTTGTTCTAATTCAAGTATTATAGCCTCTAATTCTTCTCCACTCAGAGAATTAAGGACAGATTTCACCTGAATGAAGATAATAAAATATTGTGGAAATATGAATGAAAAAAAAATCTCACAAGGAGAAAAGACTGAAGAGCTCATGCCAACACATCAGTGTGTGTGTGTGTGTGTGTGTGTGTGTGTGTGTGTGTGTGTGTGTGTGTGTGTGCTAGTCCTAGGGCTTGAACTCAAGGCCTGGGCACTTAGATTTTGTGCTCAAGTCTAGTACTCCATTATCTGAACCACAGCACCACTTCCAGCTTTTTGGTGGTTAATTGGAGATAAAAGTCTCACAGACACTTTTACCTGAGCTGGCTTCACACCATAATCATCAGATTTCAGTCTCCTAAGTATCTAGGGTTGCAGTACCCAGTTCTAATTTTTTTTTGCCGGCCCTAGAGCTTGAACTCAGGACCTAGGAGCTATCCCTGAGGCTCTTTGTGCTCAAGGTTAGTGCTATACCACTTGGAGCTACAGCACCACTTCCAGCTTTCTGAGTGATTTATCAGAGATAACTTATCTGGCCTGGCTTTCAACTAACCTCATATCTAGCCTCCTGAGCTAGGATTAGAGCCAGAACTATTTTATTTTTTTGGTCGTGGGGCCTGAGCTCTGGGCCTGGGCACTGTCCCTCAGTCTTCACCTGTAGACTAGTGCTCTACCATTGGACCCTTAGCCCCACTTCTGGGTTTCTGCTTATGTGGTGCTGAGGAATCAAACCGAGGGCCTCATGCATGCAAGGCAAGCACTCCACCACTGAGCCACCTTTCCAGCCCCCAGAACTATTTTTTTAATAATTGTAACACAAAAGGTTAGATATTATAAGAAGGTAGATAGAATTTGTATTTCCAAAATTAATACAGGCTAGAAGAGAACTGAAAATTATCAGTGCTTAAGCATGACTTCAAAGCCCAAGCAGGAAAAGCCATTAAACTCTTATCTCCAATAAACCACTAGATCAAATACCAGAAATGGAGCTGTAGCTCAAGAGGTAAACACCTGCTTTGGGCTGAAGATGTGAGGCATAGTGCCCAAGCCCAGAGTAAAAGCCCCACAATCAACAACAACAGCAACAACAAGAAGAAGGAGAAGGAGAGGAAGGAGAGGAGGAGAGGAGGAGGAGGAGGAGGAGGAGGAGGAGGAGGAGGAGGAGGAGGAGGAGGAGGAGGAGGAGGAGGAGGAGGAGGAGGAGGAGGAGGAGGAGGAGGAGGAGGAGGAGGAGGAGGAGGAGGAGGAGGAGGAGGAGGAGGAGGAGGAGGAGGAGGAGGAAAGAAGAAAAGAAGAAGAAAAAAGAAGAAGAAGAAAAAGAAAAAGAAAAAGAAGAAAGAATGGCTTAGATTATCAGAGGAGATGAACTAACAGGAAATGATATACAAATTAGCAGCTATAACAGGCTTTTTGACAGCTAAAAACCCATGACATTGGAGAAAAACCATAAAATGAAAGACTAAGGTAAAAGAAAAAGATATGTGATATTTAGACCTCTTTGTTATTCTGTTCATTTTCTATAATTTTAAGAGAAATAACATTTGACTTACTCAATATTTCTAACAATAAAGCAGTAAGGGATATTGAAATTCTATTATAATATTTCCAGCATGCCACACCTCCTTCAGAAACACATTTCATCTTCCAAAAATACAAAGAGAAAAGGAACCATGCAACGGTTCTCCTTTGAAGACTCTTTTCAGCTGCGAGTTTGAGATTGGAATTACCTTTTATTTCACTTTCTTGCAAAAGCATCTCCAGAACTTTTAGATGTTCTTGAAGTTCATCAAAGGGTAGCCCACTATGAGATTTCTTATCTGTTTCCATGGCTACCTCATTGGAGGTCATGAGCTCTTCTTTCTCCTTTGCCTCTTGTAAAACCTAAAAAGAGATGGAAGCATAGAAGCAGCAAATAATAGCTCAAGGGTAAGTTTTAAGAGTGGAGAGAAGCAAAGCTGAGACAAGTTCCAGTATAGAGTGCTGTTCTTCATGCCTGGTATGGCAAGTCAAATTCACTAAGGATCAGGAGCTGCATGGGAAAAAAAAGAAGCTAAACAAAATTTGATGCTTGACTGCATCACCCAAGGAGCCACATGCATTTCTAAAAGTGGTTTCAACATTAACCTAATAAGCAATCTTGATAGCGCTCAGGATTTTGCAATGCACTGACAGAGGCTACTGCAGAAAGAAAAGAGCTGGCCATTTGTATAAGCATTAGAGCTCTAACTGCACATCCAGCCCATAAAAATGCCTTCATTTTATAATGCATTGAAAATTCTTTGCAAGGAAATACACTAACAAAATCTCAAGGTAACAAAGGGAAAAATTCAAATTAAAAAAGAAAAAAACACATGAACAACAGAAAACAGCAGTCAAACCAGTAAAGGTAACAGTACCTGAGACAGTGTAGAATTCCAGTTCATCAGATCCTTGGTCATTTTAAATACAGGATCCCCTTCTGCTATTACATCTATTGTCTTCTTCACAATGAATTCGAAGGCATCTAAACCCCCACTAATAATGTCCTTTCCCTAGAAAGCAACATAAATGTCATTACTACAATACTGGGAAAACACATTTGCATGTTTTGTGGGGGTTTTGTGTCAGTCCAGAGGCTTAAAAATCAGGGCCTAGGTGATGTCTATGAGCTTTTTTTCTTCAAGGATAGTACTCTACCACTTGCACAACAGCTCCACTTCCTGCTTTGTTTGCTGGTTAATTAGAGAGAACAGTCTTACAGACTTTCCTGCCTGGGCTGGCTTTGAACCACAATCCCCAGATCTCAACTTCCTGAGGAGCTAGGTTTACAAGCATGAGCCACCAGTGTCCAACCATTTATATGTTTCAATTCTTTAAGAGTGACCTACAATACTAAGCACTGGGAAGAATGTGGAACAGTAAGGGTAATACACACTGCATGTAGAAACATAGTAGGTTCTCCTCTTTGGAAAACTGCTGGCCAGTATCTACTATAGCTACATATGTACAGTGGTTCATCAGAAGACATTTCAGGGCTGGGAATGTAGCCTAGTGGTACAATGCTTGCCTAGCATGCATGAAGCCCTAAGAACAATTCCTCAGTACAACATACATAGAAAAGGCAGGAAATTGCACTGTGGCTCAAGTGGTAGAGTGATAACCTTGTGCAAAAGAAGCTCAGGGACAGTGCCTGGGCCCTGAGTTCAAGCTTCAGTACTAGCCAAAAAATAAATAAATAAATAACCAAAAATATTCAGAGCAGCAGTATTTGTAATAGCTATAACATGGAAACTATTTCAATCCTTAAAAACTGTGGAATAAATAAAATATAACATAGTGACAAAATGGAATACCATATCCAAAATGCAACATGGTCAGATGATACAAAAATGTTGTGAAAGAAGTTAGATACAAAATGTACTATAAGTATGTAAAGTATAAAAGCAAACAAAAGTAATCTAAGATAAAAGTCAGGACTATAGTTATCTTCCTAGAAGGGGCATACTATCTCTTAAAGAATCTGAACAAGTTCACATTATGAAAATGAACTGTTTTAAATTTCAGTATTAAAATTAAGAAAAAATATAAAGCATAAAGTTAAAGTATAGCCAAGTATTTAATATATGCCTATAATGCCAATACTCCAGAGACTAAGGCATAAGTATTGTAAGTCTGAGGCCAGCCTAAGCTACATTAATATCCAGTTCAAGGATGCCAGGCTACACAGTGAAAAGAATGAAAAGAGAATCCAAAGACACAGTGTACGCCTGTAATCACAGCTGCTTACAAAGTAGAGGCAGAATTGTAGTCCAAAGCCAGCACAAGTAAAAGCCAGTGATTGGATCCAAAAACAAACTAGCTATTTCTGCTTTCTAGTTGCCATGATATGATTGATTCTGCTTTGCCATGACCTTCCTGCCATTATGAACTGACATCTCTGAGAACAAAACTGCTCCCTGTAGATAGATAGATAGATAGATAGATAGATAGATAGATAGATAGATAGATAGATAGATAGATAGGCAGGCAGAAGAAAGGAATAACGATGTGGCTCAAGTGGTACTTCATATTGCCAAAATAAATAAACGAAGGTTACAATAGCCAGGCAGTGGTGTCTGGTGACTCATGCCTGTAATCCTTTTCAGCTACTCTGAAGACTGAGATCTGAAGATCACAGTTCAAAGCCTTCCAGGCAGGAAAGTCCATGAGATTCTTATTTCCAAATAACTTCTCAAAAAATTTAGGGAATAGCGCTGTGGCTCAAGTGGTAGAGTGATAGCCACCTTAAGTACAGAAAGGGTCAGGGACAACACTCAAGTCCTGAGTTCAAGCCCCACAACTGGCAAAAGAAAAAAGTATTGATCTACACATAGTAAACATTTTTCTAAACAAGAGGAAACTATAGTCAGAAACAGATCAATGGTTGGAAAATGCTCTGAACAGACAGAAAGGTGTGGCTACAGACTGGCATGAAGGAACTCCCTCAGGTAATGAAAATATTCTTATATCTCAGTGAGCCATACAAATACAGAAAATATTCTGTGTCTGTGTATCACAATATACTGTGACTATACAGTATAAACATAATTATTATTTCTCAACACGAAGTCATATTGCAAAAAAACCAGTTTTACTGTATGCAAATTATAGCTCAACTTTGTCCTAGAAGACTATGCTGATTCTTAGTAAGGGAATCAATATATATTACAAAGATGAGTATGTTTCAAAAATAATCAGTTCTCTTTTACCTTTAAAAATCATATAATAGATCAACTAGTACACCAAGTAGTTAAACTATATTATATCAAACACTCTATTATGGAGAGAACTTTTGCTTTCAAGTACTATAAATAAGCTGATATTACACTTGCCTTCCTATACTGCAACTAGAAAACCAGACAAAATATAAGAAAGAACTATTTTTCGACAATGGACAAAAAGACAAAATGAAAGACTTTGGTCCAGGAGAAAAGAGAAACAAAGTCAACCCTACAGCTGGGCTTTCTGCCTAGAGAAAAGTTCCAAACCCCAACACACAGAGGAGATCCTAAAGACAACAGAACACTCACACACAATGTAAGTCAGGGATAAAGGCTGGAGTCAGGGAAGGCTGAAGCAGCTTTCACTTGAAAATCAGAAAACTTCAGAGGATGCAGCTATATAAGTAAAATGTTTCAAGAATCTACAGATGTGCCCATGTGTCTTTATCTGAATAATATACTATTCAAACACTAGGTAACGCCACACAGTTGGAGAAGAACTAGTGTAAGTAGTAAGCAACACAATCCCCATAGCTCAAGCTGTCCTGAAGCATCTGGTTTTTAAACAACCAAGTGAACAGACTTCACTGAACACCTGAGGAATAAGAGTGAATTCAGAGGAATCAGGGCTCAGCAGTGAAGATTAACTAGTCCTTAAGATTGAAGGCTACACTAGACTCCCTATAATCAAGCCTAACAGAGAGAAGAAAGTGGTGACATTGTCCAAAAAACAAATCATTTAAATAGGGATACAGGTGGATCCATTGCAAGAATGAGATGTACAAGTCGTTATGTGGAAAAACAAACTTTGCAACTTTGGTGGGGGGGGAGGAGAATTGGGTGGGGGAGGGTGGGGGAGGATGGGAAGGGGAAACAAAGGAGGAGGCTTCAATGCTTGATAAGAAATGTACTCATTATCTTGCCCACGTAATTGTAACCCCTCTGTACAGCATTTTCACAATAAAAATTAAAAAAAAGGGTGAAGAAAAAATAAAGAAATGTACTCTTAGTTGGGTACCAGTGGCTCACACCTGTAATCCTAGCTACTCAGGAAGCTGAGATCTGAGGATTGTGGTTCAAAGCAAGCCCTGGCAGCAAAGTCTGTGAGACTCTTATCTCCAATAAACCATCAGAAAACAAGAACTGGCATTGTGGCTCAAGTAATAGAGCACTAACTAGCCTTGAGCTCAAGAGCTGAGAGGCAGTACCCAGGCCCAGAGTTCATGTCCACGATTGATAAAAAGAAATGTACTCTTTACCCAACTTATATAACTGTAACCCGTATCTTTTAGTAACAGTTAAAAAGTTTTGAAATATTAATCTGAATTGGGAAAGCAGGACTGGGCCACTGATGACTCACACCTATGGTCCTAGGTACTCAGGGCTGAGATCTAAAGATCACAATGGAAAGCCACCAGGGCAGAAGAACCTGTGAGACTTTCATCTCCATTTATTTATCCAGCAAAAATCAGAGGCAGGGTTCAAGTGCCAGCTGTGGGGGAGGGGGACAAGGTAGACTGTGAAGATGGGAGTTCAAACCCCAGTGCCAGAACATAAACATTAAAAAAGAAAGAGGCCTGACATGGTAGCTCACACCTATAATCCTAGCTACTCAGGAGGCTGAGATCTGAGGATCACCGTTCAAAGCTAGCCTGGGAAAGAAAGTCTGTGAGACACTTATCTCCAATAAACCACTCAGAAAACCGGAAGTGGCACTGTGGCTCAAGAGCTAGAGTGCTCACCTTGAGCAGAAGAGTGCAGGGACAGGGCCCACACCCAGAGATCAAGCCCCATGACAGACCAAAAAAAAAAAAGTGGGGTGGAGGAAGAAAGGAAGCAAGGAAGCAAGCAAGCTAGCTAGCTAACTAGCTGGATGCCAGTGGTTCACACCTGGAACCCTAGTTATCCAGGAGGCTGAGATCTGAGCATCACAGTTTGAGGCCAGACTAGGCAAGGTAGTCTAGTCCAGGCAGATTTATCTCTCCAATTAATCACCAAAAAAAAATAGAAGTAATTATCACAGAAGTATAGCTGTTGCTCAAGTAGTAGAGTGCTAGCCTTGAGCAAAAAGGTTCAGGGACAGCACCCAGGCCCTGATTTCAACCCCCAGGAACACCACACACACACACACACACACACACACACACACACACACACACACACACACACACACACACACACACACACACACACACACACACACACACACACACACAGAAAGCAGAAGACAACATCCTTAAAGGAAGATGACAAAATTGCAAAAAAGATGACCAAGTGATTTCATTGGTATCTTTTACCTCAAACTTCTAAAAAGATCCATCTCTAGTATAATTTCCTTCGCAGTGAAATTAATTTCTCTCCTTAGGAACTTTAGAAGATGGGAAAGGCTTTAGGATGAAAATGCCACCAATTCTATTCTGGTACACTTAATATTCAACTAAAATCTAAGTCCATAAAACTTCCACTGAGTAGTGGGAGTTCTCTACTCATGAGACATAAGTAAACACAACCTAAACTCTGCTCTCCATGCTAGTCTTCAAAGGTATAAAAAGGGTATATTCTCCCTATCTCTTTTCCTTAGATTTTCATATTCATGATCCATTAACTCTCCAAGTTTTTAAGACATTAATACTAGCCACTCTTCCCAGGGTTTTCCATGATTTTCATTCCCCTCTTAAAACATGGCTCTGAATGACAGATGTCCTTCAAGTGTTTATGAAGTCACTGCTGTTTACTATCCAAACATACTTTTAACTCCTGTTTTCTTTGCCCACTAAAAGCAACTCCTGATAAAAATTTCTGATAATGCTAACAATTTAATCTCCCAATATCTCAAAGCATCAGAGTTAGACATTAAACCATTCTAGTTGCTGGGGGCATGAGGAGAAATGAAACCTCCTGTCTCTGCAACTCCTGAATTTGAGCTTATCTGTTTGAGAATACCATACTTGCACTCACAGCATGATCTGACAACAATTACAAAATCATAAAGAAATCAACAAAGAAAACTGAAGATACCAGGACCCTACGTTCACCAAAACAACATGCAAGAGTCTATTTCTAGAGTCCTTTAGGAAGAAAAATAAACTCATTTTTTAAACACATAGTGTGTTAGTCACAGCCAAAATAGCCTCACTGATGCAAGCATCAGTAAGAACAGTGCCTCATATATGGAGTATTTTGCAGCCATGTCTGATAAGGGTATCTCTCCAGTCTACTGACCCATGCACTATGGACCCGAAGGTATGTCAATCCAGTTTGCTCTTAGGTATACACAAGTAGTGATAGTGGAACCTGTTACTCTCTGATGGTTATATACACCAAAACATGATATAACTCTGAAGATGGAGAAAAACAGATAGAATAAATCTGCTTCCAGAGGAAAAAAAGATAGAGATGAGCAAAGAGTATTAAATGAGAAACAATACGGGCTGTGAGAGATGAAGAAAACAAACCGGTCTTCAAAACTTTTCCATACTGCTTAGAAGTGCAGGTTTCCTTTTGATCAAGACAAACTTCCAAGAATAAACCTTGGCACAGACAGAAATTTTTTTAAAAGAGACCCAGAAACACAATAAATCAAAGAAAGTTTGGACACATGGGATTACATGAAATTGCAGAACTTCTGCATGGCAAAGGACATAGCAAGAGCAATAGAAAGCCCACCGATTGGGAAAAGATTTTCACTAGCCATACAACGGACAAGGGTCGCATATCTAAAATACAACTTGAACTCAAAAAAATTAAATCTCCCAACAACAAATCCTCAAAGAAACAACTGCCCAATAAATAAGTGGCTAAAGACTTAAAGAGAAACTTCTCTGAAGAGGAAAGAAGGATGGCCAATGGGCACATGAAGAAATGCTCAACCTCCCTAGCCATAAAAGAAATGCAAATCAAAACAACATTGAGATACCACCTCACCCTAGTTAGAATGGCTAGAATCCAGAACTCTTATAACAACAGATGTTGGAGGGGATGTGGACAGAAGGGAACTCTTCTGAATTGTTGGTGGGAGTATAAACTTGTTCAACCACTTTCGAATGTAGTATGGAGGTTCCTCAAAAGACTCTACATAGAGCTTCCCTATGACCCAGCAATCCCTCTTTTGGGCATTTACCCAAGCGATCACAAATAAGACCATACTAAAGCTACAAGCACAACTATGTTTACTGCAGTATTTACCATAGCTAAGATATGGAACCAACCCAGATGCCCCTCAGTAGATGAATGGATCAAGAAAATGTGGCATATATACACAATGGGATTCTATGCCTCCATCAGAAAGAATGACATTGCCCCATTTGTTATGAAATGGAGAGACTTGGACAAAATTATATGAAGTGAAGTAAGCCAGGCCCAAATAAACATAGGTCCCATGATTTCCCTTATTTGCAATAACTAGTATATGTCTAAGACAAGCAGAAACGGTAAGAAAAGTTGATGTTAGGTGAAATGATCCCCAAGATAAGGACACAAATGTTTTTTTTTTCTTTCATACAATTGTTTCTAACATATTTATAAGATGATTTCTTTGTTGCTTTGTATGTCCCTCCCCCACGGTATAACCCCTGTTTTCACTGTATTTGATGTTGGTATAATTTGTGGGGGGGAAGGAAAAAAAAAATATTTTAAATAGGGATACAGTTGGACCTATTGCAACAATGTCAAAAAACGAACTTTACAACTTTGGCAGGGTGTGTGTGGGGTGGTGATGGAAGTGGGGGGAACAGGAAATGGGAAGGGATGGGAAGGGGTAACAAAGGAGGAAGCAATAATGCTTGATAAGAAATGTACTCATTACTTTGTCCATGTAATTGTAACACCTCTGTATGGTATTTTCACAATACATATATAAAAAAAAAAAAACCCTCACCTTCATAAAAACCCAAATGCAAAAAAAAATTAGAGAGAGAAAAGGCTAGAATGTACCTCAGCTCAATGGCAAAACACTTGCCTAGCAAGTGCAACATCCTGGGTTCAATGCCCAGTATCAAAAAGAAAGGGTAGAAAAACGAACAAATAAATAACAAAAGGCAAAAAAAATAGCCCTAAATGAACAAAAATATTTTTTGGTCCTGTCAGTTTTAAATTCAGCCAACCCTGGTTGCCATATAAAGTGCTAAGTAATTCTTATATTCAGCATATATGGCAATATAATTTTATTATACAGCAGTCCTTGAAATTACTTCAGATGCAGAGTAGAGAGATATGAGCAGTTACAAGACACAGATCTCTAACTGGCAGCTGGATTCACAAGGCAACCCACCACAGCTGTAGGATGTCCCCATGTCCTTAATATCAAAAATGCACAAGCTAGCTACTGAATCCAAAGTATCCTAGGACTTAATGTTTCTGTATACTGACCTTCAGCATCTTGACTTCAGCTGAAATCTCACTGGGACTAGGGATCCCAAGGGAAGTCTCTGTCATTTCAATGATGTTTGAAGTATCTTGTCCTAGAGAAAAATTAAATTTGTTGCTCTTTATTACCCAAACTTACCAAGCTAAATTCCAAAAACGAAATATCAAAGTGTGTATGTCTAAAATCATGAATGCTATAAGACAGGTTATTTTTAACAATTGGGGTAGTTATTCCTTGAGAATATCTCCTTAGTATAACATTTTTTAAACAAAACCCTGATATATCATCACTAAAGAACAGACATTTATAGCAATTCCTAGACTTCAGTCTAATAAGAAAATGCTACCAATTCTACTAGCAGTGTCTATCATCTCATGATTACTTTTCTTCAAACAATAAACCCTTGAACAAATGTGGAAGGAGAATTATTAACTAAGTCCTTTGTAACACAAATCTGTAAAACGCACACAGACAGTAATGAAATGACTGATGATTTTACCCACTGTGGCCACTGTAACTGAGGATGAGGAGAGCAAGGACTTGCCCCGGGGGCCCCAATATTTCCATCTGGCCTGGAGTATATCTTTGGAAAGTTTCCTATTGTCCCAGTAAATGGGGGGGGGGGGGGGGAAAGACACAAGAAAGTGTGAAAAATTAGAGAGCCAGAGTATAATATACATAAGTTATCTAATTATTAGCTAAAGTATGGGAACCTAATAATATTTGCTTAATGCATTGCTTGACTGATAGACAGTTGTCTGTGTTTATTATGTAGGCACCATGCAGCAAAGGAAATTACTGCTGATGGCATTTATAGAACTGAAAAACTATTATTTATGGTTGTAAAAATAAGAAAAGAAATGTAATCCTAAATTAGCATTGAGCTTGAGTCTGTCTTTTTTTTATTGTGAAAATACTGTACAGAGGGTTTACAATTATATGGGCAAGATAATGAGTACATTTCTTATCAAGCATTGTAGCCTCCTCCTTTCTTTCCCCTTCCCATCCCTTCCCATCCTCCCCCCGCCCCCCCCACCCAGTTTTCCCTGCCCCCCCACCAAAGTTGTAAAGTTCGTTTTCGACATAATGACTTGTACATTTCATTGTTGGAATGGGTCCACCTGTATCCCTATTTAAACGATTTGTTTTTCTCATTGTACCAGGGCTTCACACATTTGGCTTGCTTGCTCATGGCTGGCACTCTACCACTTGAGCCATACCTCTAGTGGAGCACTTTGCTGGCATTTAGTTGGAGATGGAATCTGCATTCATCTGGACCTAAGCATCCTCAGTAGCTAAGATTACAGGTGTGAGCCAGGGGTACCTGGTAAACGCTAATATTTTTAAATCCCAATATTTTAATAGAGATTCTAGCTGGGCACCAGTGGCTCATGCCTGTAATCCTAGCTACTCAGGAGGCTGAGATCTGAGGATCATGGTTTAATGCCAGCCAGGGCAGGAAAGTCCATGAGACTCTTATCTCCAATAAACCATTAGTGGTACTGTGGCTCAAGTGGTAGAGTGCTCACCTTGAGCTGAAGAACACAGAGATAGTGCCCAAGCCCAGAACTCAAGCCCCACAACCCACACAAAGAAATAGAGATTCTGTGATACCTGAAAAGGGAGAACTTCTGAAGTCTCAGGGTCCCTGGAAGACCCAACATCTGTTTTTTTCAACTGGACACTACAGCTTCCATTAAGTCTCTTGATTGGCATGTTGGTCAACAGATTCAGTATTCTTCACAGACTCAGAATTCTCCACTGACTCACAGTTTCTTTCTTCAAGGATAGGACTTGCTTCAGTTATCACTGGAGTCTCAGGATCATCTTTATCAGAAAGTCCAAGGGAAAAAATGATTGAGGTCAGCTTTTTTTTAGTATAAATTATTTGTCTAAATCTTTTGACACTTTCACAGAGTCACAGGCAGGAACATTAGTAAATTAATACAGACAAGATCCCACAGATCTTCCCCCAGGTTCTCCTAGTAACAGCTTTCATAACTGAAGCATAATTCATTGTGGCAGAATCCACCAATCTTCAGATTTCAACAGATTCCAACTGAAATTCTGTCACTTAAAGAAGTATAGATGGAATTACATAGCATGTCACTTGTTAAGAATTTTTACACAGCATTTAAGTCTCTCCAGACCCACTTGTATTAAGACTTTTTTATTTTTTTTACTGTTTCTGAATAGTCCATGGTATAAATGTGCTTTGGGACTATCACAGAAATAAAATGATTCAGAAAGCTTATATACAGGTGTTTATGGGAACGAAAGCTTTCTCTGGGAAAAATGCCTACTCAGTTAAATTTTAAATGTTACTGTTAGGCTGGGCATGTACCTGAGTAGTAGAGGGCTTGCCTAGCATGCAGGAAGCCCTTTGTTTGATTACTCAGTACCACATGCACAGAAACTGGCACTGTGGGTCAAGTGGTAGAGCGCTATCCTTGAGCTAAAAAGAAGCTCACGGATAGTGCCATGGGACTGAGTTCAAGCCACAGGACTGTCCAAAAACAAGGTATTGTTCTATTCTTTTCCCAAGTAAAATATCATTTTACTTTCCTAGTGGCAATGTATGAATAATCAAGTTCCCTTGAATTCTGATCAATCTTGTGTTGTCACTATTTTGATTGAGCCATTCAGATAGGTATGTAGTGGTACCTCACTGTCCCTTTTAAGTTGCATTTCTCTAAGGGTTGGGACCAAGGCATCCTTTTATGTGCTTATTTGTTGAATATATACTCTTCAGTGAAACATTTATTTGTATCTTTTGGTCATTATCGAATCATTCTGGTTTGGTTTTTATCATTATGTACTACAGAGATTTGAGAACACTGTATTTTGGAGATTTAACTCCTCTACTGTGGTTTGCAAATATTTCATGCTAGTTTATAGTTTATCTTTTTCCTGTCTTCCTAGGGTCTTTCCCTGAGCAAGTTTTTCATTGTGAGGAGGTTCATTATCTATTTCCCCTTTTACTGACTATCCTTTAAAATCTTTAGTAATCACTTACTACTAAAACTCTTCCAGAGATTTAATCTATCCAAAAACATTTCTGTCAGAACAGTTTTTTAGGGTTTTGTTTCCTATTTGTAGTGGTGGCCCTAGTGATTAAAAGATGTCTCTAATCCTTTTGCTTTTGTTTTTTGGATAGGGTTTCCTAATTTGCCCAAGTGAGCCTCAGACCACAAATTTCTTACACTGCCTCTCAAGTACCTAAGATTACAGACATAAACTACCATGCTTGCTATCTCTGAAACACTAACTTTTTGTTTGGTATGCTCTTAAACCATAATCCTCCTATCTCCTTCTCTGGAATATCTAGGATTATAAGTATGAAACACTTTCTGGGCATTTTGCTATTATTAAAAATATTCATCATAAATAAACCAAAATTCTGTTAGTATTGGAACATTTGATGTTACAAAAGAGATAACGTCAGAATGTCCCACATCCACAAATCAGCCAAAGTCAAATGCTGGAGGGGATGTGGAGAAAGAGGAACCCTATTATACTGCTGGTGGGAATGTACACTTATACAACCACTTTAGAAAGCAGTCTGGAGGGTCCTTAGAAAGCTAAAGATTGACCTCCCTTACGGCCCAGTCATACCACTTTAGGCATCTACCCTGAACAACAGGAACCAATATACAAGGATATGTTCACCTCCATGCTTATTGCAGCTCTGTTCACAATAGCTAGGATATGGAAACAACCCAGATGCCCCACCACAGAGGAATGGATCCAAAAATTGTGGTATCTATACACAATGGAATATTATGCAGCCATTAGAAATGACAAAATAATGGCATTTGCAGGGAAATGGATGGAGCTAGAAGGAATCATGTTGAGCGAGGTAAGCCAAGAGCAAAGAGACAAACAATACATGGTCTCCCTGGTAAGTGGATGCTAAATCCAAAATGTTAGGTGATATGACAAAATTAACAGGACTTAAGAAACGAAGAACTCCCACTCATCTGGTCGAACCACTACTAAATATCCCCATGCTGCTGATCACATGTATGGTGTATATGTGTACACCGTTATATGTTATAGACTGTGATAGACAATTTGCTCCAGGAAAGTTAGAATGAACTTGTGACTTTAAATGAACATCATTATTCCACAATACTGTGAAATTTTGGAAATTATGTAATCACTTAATCACAATTTAAAAAAAAAAAAGAACCTCGGGGGAGGTAGGGAGGGAAGGGATAGTAGGGGGAAAACAATGGAGGGGGTAACAATGCTCAATAGAAAGTGTACTCATTACCTTGCTCATGTAACTGTAACCCTCTGTATAGTATCTTTACAATAAAAAAATTAAAAAAAGAGATGACAATTGGCTTATATTTTATACTTACTTATTTTTTTTTTTTTTTTTTACAGTGTGAGCAATAGATTTCAGGACCCCACACATACCAGGGAAGAGCTCCACCATTTGGCTATATCCATTGACCTCCTACTTCAACATTTTTTTTGCCAGTTCTGGGACTAGAACTCAAGGCCTGGCCACTGTCCTGGAGCTTTTTTGCTCAAAGCTAGCACTCTAACACTTGAGAGCCACAGCCCTACTTCTGGCTTTTTCTGTGTATGTGGTACTGAGGAATTGAGCAATGGGCTTCATGCATGGTAGGCAAACACTCTATTACTAAGCCACATTCCCAGCACCTCAAATCAACTTTTGAGCAGCAATTCAAATACCCAATCTAATTCCTTCCAGAAGAGCTGTTTGGGAATTAAATCAATATCATATTGGCCCTTCAACAAAGAAAAGGAGAACCAAATAGTTTGAGAGAATTAATATATTTCCTGCCCTTTCCTTCACCCTCTGCTTTTGTGCTCTCTCTCTTTTTCTTTCACCCTCATTCACCCATACACACAGGTATGTATAAACCTATTCTATAGAGAGATGGACTACATGCAGGAAAGAGCCAATATATGATATCAAATGTTTCAAATAGATTTTGTTTTTGTTTTTTTTTGTTTTTGTTTTTGTTTTTTGGTCCAGTCATGGGGCCTGAACTCTGGGCCTGGGTGTTGTCCCTCAGCTCTTCAGCTCAAGGCTAGCGCTCTACCACTTGAGCCACAGCACCACTTCCAGCTTTTTACTTTTTGCTTATGTGGTGCTGAGGAATCGAACCCAGGGCCTCAGGCATGCAAGGCAAGCGCTCTACCACTGAGCCACCTTCCCAGCCCTCAAATAGATTTTAAAAACATACTAGCAACTAATAAGGCAGAAAGACCAGCACATTACTATAATTAAGATATACACAAAAATGCTAACAGAAAGGAAAACATCCATTTTGAATCAGAAGACATAATTCATACACAAAGTACCAAACAAAAGTCTAGAGCTTGGAGTGTCAAACCTAGCCTAGAGATGTTTTTAATTTATCTATATAGTGTCTAAACTTTTAAATGAGTTCCATGTTTAAAAACCAGTCTTCATAAGCCAGGCCCAAAGAAACATAGGTCCCATAGTTTCCCTTATTTGCAATATCTAGTATATGTCTGAGTCAAGCAGAAAAGGTCAGATAAGGTGATGTTAGGGAAATGAACCCTAAGATATGTATTCAAATGCTTTTTTTCTTTCATGTGAGTGTTTATAAGATTTATAAGATTATTTCATTGTTGCTTTGTATGTCCCTCCCCCACAGTATAACCCCTGCTTTCACTGTATTTAGTGTTGGTATAATTTGTGGAGGGAAAGGGGAAAAACAAATCATTTAAATAAGGATACAGGTGGACCCATTGCAACAATGAGATGTACCAGTCATCATGTCGAAAATGAACTTTGGGGGGGGGGGCGGGGAGGATGGGGGGACAGAGGGGAGGATGGGAATGGATGGGAAGGGGAAACAAAGGAGGAGGGTACAATGCTTGATAAGAAATTTACTCATTATCGTGCCCATGTAATTGTAACCCCTCTGTACAGTACTTTCACAATAAAAAAAAAAAAGAAGAAGAAAAACAAAGGAGGAGGTAACAATGCTCGATAGGAAATGGACTCATTACCTTGTTCATGTAACTGTAACCCCTCGGTACAGTATCTTTATAATAAAAAATATATACAAAAAAAACAGTCTTCATACAAATGTGCAAGTGTCCAATTTCCCTTGAAAACTGGAAACAAAGGCTCTATACTGACTGGTTAATAACTACCTCATGCCAAATGGTCCTTTCAGGCAACTGGTCCTTTCAGGCAACGCTCCTGCACCTCAAAACTGGCACTCAAATTCAATTCACTCATTTATGTTAACTTTATTAGCCCCATAGGCATCTGCAAATGTCTGCCATGAGAGGTACATAGGATTATGATAGGTGAAAATGCCAGAGAAAGAGTTCAAAGATATAAAAACAATCCATGAGAAAGCTCAAAGGTATTTATGATACCAGTTGCCTAGAGCCATTAAAATACCAGGGAGAAAAACAATCACAAGGCATGAAACCAGAAAGCAACTTTAAGACACCTTGGAGCTAAGCTGTATGTATACGTGTGTGTGTGTGTGTGTGTGTGTGTGTGTGTGTGTGTGTGTTGTATACTATGTGTAATTCATGCACGATATGTAATACATACAAAATATATCATTGTAGAAATGTAATTCATGTAACTTCATATAAGATTAGGACATACTCTGAAAAAGGAAACAATGGTAATCTCTATTCTTTGGTCATCACCATCTAAATTTGAATTTACGTGATTTAAAGATCATCTAGAGGCACTGGGAAGGTGGATCAGTAGTAGAGTGCTTGCCTTGCATGCATGATGCTCTGGGTTTGATTCCTCAGCACCACGTAAGCAGAAAAATCCGGAAGTGGCACTGTGGCTCAATTGGTAGAGTGCTAGCCCTAAGCTGAAGAGCTGAGGGACAGTGCCCAGGCCCAGAGTTCAGGCCCCAGGACTGACCAAAAAAATCATCTAGAATGTTCTAGACTGGAAGACTATGAGTTTATATTGTTTATGCTGTTAATATTATTAGTAGAAGGAATGTAGATACTCTACTCTCAATGAATTCATCATCTCACAGCAAATGTAAATGAATAACAGGTAGGTGAAAGTGAAATTGCATTATTTAATGGTTTCCTAAGTTTTCTGGGTATTTTATGATGAATTGGAAGAGAATACACCAGTGAACTAAGAAAAAAATAAGCTGAAGGGATTCATATTTTTAAGGAACCAAAATGCATATGCTTGTGTCTCTCACACCTACCACACACCCTCAGGCCACCTTTTCCTTCCGTTTCCCTTCTCAGCAATCAAGGCTACCAGCACCTACTCTGGGACTTACCTTGCTCCTGCCGACCACAACTTGGGGAGTACCATGCACCCAGCCAGCACCACAGCCGCTGCTGACACCTCCAAAGCATGCTCCCAATAACTGGGGAATACTCCCCCCTGCGGGGTGGGTCTGGCCGCGTATACTTCTTGGTCCTGCTTCTTCTTCGATCTGATGTGGCTGGGGTCTGGTTTGTTGAGTTTGGGCACCAACCAGTGGTTTAAAGGTTGGCTGACCATAGTCATTGGAGTGATGTTGGCTTGGAAAAGGAGACTGCCTTTGTGTTTTTGAAGATCTGACCATCCGAGAGGTACTGAGTACCAAGTACCCTCCCACACTATCCCCGAGGTCAGGGGTCACCCAAGCCACTGACTTGGCAAGGCCCAAATGGGCAGAACAGGGCTGTCCAGGCCAGTAGCAAAGTGTTTGCGAGGATGCTTAGTTATATGAATGGGACAGGAAAAGGTGAGGGAGGACTAACTAGCAAATGCAAAGGCCTTAACAAATTTTAGCAATCCAAGAAAAGAAAAAGAAAAAAGCTGCAAAAAAAGGGAGGCCAAGTAAATTGGAATGTGGCTTAGTGGTAGAGTGCTTGTCTAGCATGCATGAAGCCCTGGGTTCGATTCCTCAGTGCCACATACACAGAAAAAGCCAGATGTGATGCTGTGGCTCAAGTGGTAGAGTATGTTCCTTGAGTAAATGAAGCACAGGGACAGTGCCCAGACCCTGAGTTTAAGCCCTAGGACTGGCACAAAAAAATGGGGGTGTGGGTTGCAAAAAGATAAGATGAGGTCTGGGATTTGGACACCATGTCTTGTCAGGCTTATGAGATGGGATGAAGTTTTCTTTTTATTTTCTGTGTGTGTGTGTGTTTGTGTGTGTGTGTGTGTGTGTGGTTAAATGGCGATGAATCTCAGATTTTCCTGCCCAAGCTTGTCTCGAACTATGATCCCTAAACCTTAGGCTCCTGAGTAGCTAGGATTATAGGCATTAGCAACCTGCACCCAGCTCAGGATAGTTTTAACTCTTAATATGGAACTTAATGGGAAATGGCAGTAGGTTTCTAAGCAGAAGTGTAAGATGCTTTGATTTGTGGTTTTTAGGATGACCCCCGACCCTTCCCTCATCAAAAGATGCATCTCATTATTTATCCTTCAGCAGTGTAAATGTGTGAAGTCTGGACTTGTGGAGCTAGAAAGGCATAAGGTTATAAATATAAGGAAAATGGAACTTTTCTGAGGTAAAGAGAATTGTATTTTTTTTTTTGTCAGTCATGGGGCTTGAACTCTGGGCCTGGGTGCTGTCCCTCAGCTCTTCAGCTCAAGGCGAGCACTCTACCATTTGAGATATATAGCTAGTTCCAGTTTTCTGGTGGTTTACTGGAAATAAGAGTTTCATGGACTTTCCTGCCTGGGCTGGCTTTGAACCATGATCCTGAAATCTCAGCCTCCTGAGTAGCTAGGATTATAGGCGTGAGCCACTGGCACCCGGTGAGAATTGGATTATCTAAGAATCCAAACATGTGGCTGGGTATGAAACTCAGTGGTTACATATCTTGCCTAGCATGTGCTAGACAGAAAGAGAGCACAGAGAAAAAAGAAAAAGGGAGACAGGAGAGGAGAAAAAGAGAATCCATGTTTTCTACTGCTTCAGTGTTTTCAGAAGAGCCATCATAAGAAATAAACCTTCCCCAGAAATTTTGTTTACTTTTATGTTTTTGTTTCTGTCAGGTGAGGAAATTGAACCCAGGCTGGTTATTTAGGGATAAATCTCCAATTTGTCTGCCTGGGCTGGCTTCAAATCTGGATCCTCAGATCTCAACTTCCTTAGGTAGTTAGGATCATAGGCTTGACCACTCTAGCTCTGGCCTCTTATCCTTCTGTTTCATCTAGTAGCTGCTACCTTCCTCTTACCTCATTTCTGGGGCTTGAACCCAGGGCCTGGGAATTGCTTTTGAGCTTTTTTGTTCTAGCCTAGGGCCCAGCCACTTGAACAACAGCTCCACTTCCAGCTGTGTGTGTGTGTGTGTGTGTGTGTGTGTGTGTGTGTGTGTGTGATTGAAGATAAGAGTCTCACAGGTGAAAAGCTATTTAAAGAGAACAGTAAAACAAATGTAGTTAAACCATTGTGTCAGAACAGGAGCTCAAAAGATCATACAATTTAAGCAAAGAAAGGGATTATAATGATAATCAGCATCCAAATCAGAAAACTAACACTACTGGAGCACATCAGCCCTAATTAGTGACTTAGGTGCAGGTGCCACCAAAGACTCCACCAGACTTCTAAATCCATGTCAACAAGTATGTTTGTGCACTCTTGCAGTACTCTGGTTCCTTATCATTATGTCACTTCAATCTCCTGAAGAATCATTGGGGCTAAACTGGAACTTTTAAAATTTCATGTGTGTGTATGTATATTGCACATACACCTATAATAAGACTTAAACTAAGGGCCTCCCACTCTACCTTGGATTTTGGTACTTAACCACTTGTCCCATACCTCAACTTTTAGCTTTTTACTGGTTAATTGGAGCTAAAAGTCTAACGGACTTTCCTGCTCAAGGTAGCTCAGAACCATGATCCTCAGATCTCAGCCTCCTGAGTAGCTAGGATTACAGGTGTGAGCACTAGTGCCAGGCTTCTAAACTAGAATATTAAGCTCATCTCATAGATAGTGAAAATCACCCATAAACTTTTTTTTTTTATGCTGGGTTTGAACTTTGGGCCTGGCCTCTGTCCCTGATTTTCTTTTGCTCAGGGATAGTGCTCTCCCTCAGGGGGATTTTTTTAAATGTTTTTTTCATTAGGTCTCGAAAACAAAGTCCTCCCCTTGAAGAAAAGGTGCTGGATTTGTGGACAGAGACTATGACTTTCACCTTCCTTAGATTTAACATAGTAGCAGATAAACAGAGACACTAAATAAATGCTTCTTGATACCAGTTCCATTTTATGTTGCTTATGTTAAACCTAACTCACTTTATGAATCTCAGTTTGGAAGGAAACCATCTTGCAGGGTACTTCAAGTGCAGAAAACCTTATAGGCAAATGAACAATATCAGGCTTGGTTCTCAAACAGAAGTTGAGGTTGAAGCACAGGCACTTCATCAGCTGGGCCATTTAGAGATGAGGCAGAAGATCTTGCTGGGATACCAACCTGGCCCATGTCCTTCTCAACCATAGTATCTGGTTCCCATCTGTTTCTTAAGCTAAACCTGCACAGAGATACCCTTTGAAGAAAATCTCTTTGCAATTGAACTGTAGACTTGGATTATTTGCCAATTACCATGTAAGAAACAGTGGCCTCATCCTGAAAAAAACTGGCAAGGATCACCTTAAGTAGGTGACCAAAGATACACCCAAGCAATGAGACATCAGAAACTGATATGAGGTACTGAGTTTTCTCATTCAGTCATAAAATTAGGCATAAAAAAACAAACTAACTAACTAATATCAGCCTAGCTGGGTCTACGTGGCTCACCCATGGAACCCTAGCCACTCAGGAGGCTCAGATCTGAGGATATTGCTCCAAAGCCAGCCCAGAGAGGAAAGTCTGTGACATTCTTATCTCCAGTGAACACCAGAAAACTGGAAGTGGTGTTTTAGCTCCAAGTGGTAGAGTGATAGCCTAGAACTAGCTCAAGGATAGCAACCAGGCCCTAAGTTCAAGCCCCAGGACCAACCAAAAAAAAAAAAAAACACTCACCCAAGTCATACTAGGAGGCTTCCCACAAGATTAGTAGCTGCCCTTTCCAAAAGTGTCAAGCTCATGCTAAAGAAAAGACAGTGTAAATGTCACAGACTGGAGGAGGCAGAAGAGGTCTGACAGATCAAGGGAAAGCAGGATCCTGGATGGAGCCTGAGTGGGGGTGCCAGTTCTAAGGATTCAACTCAAGGCCTGGGCACTGTCCCTTAGCTTTTTCGCTCAAGGCTGGCACTCTACCACTTGAGCCACAGCTTTACTTCAGGCTTTTTGATGGTTTGATGGAGAGAAGAGACTCACAGACTTTTGTGTCCAGGCTAGCTTTGAAACTCAGTCCTAAGATCTCAGCTTGCTGAAGAGTTAGGATTACAAGCATGACCCAACATCGCCAGCTGTATTTTCTGTTTTATCTTACAATAAAAATAAAAAGATTGTGTCTAAAATACATACTTGGGAGGGAGCAGGAGAGAGTTCTGCTTCTACTATTGACTCTAGCCGTTTTTGTCTTGTGCTACAGCTGCAGGGCAGGGCACATGGGCAGGGTGTGGTTCAGGCACAGGCTCAGCCTGCCTAAAACTCGGAAGTAAAAATGAGGTGTACCTAGTACTGGCAATAGCTAGTGGTCTGGTTTGGCCTTCTAGTGTAGAGAACAGAATGAAGTAAAATGAGGAAATAATAGTTGAGGGCACAGTATGTATATCACATTATGCCATGACAACATATTTGTTCTTAACCTGTAGGCAAAAGAGAAAAGGTACATGCTTCTTATCAAGGATTAATATCACCTCAGCAGTCACTTCTCATTCCTCTTTACAAACAAATCCTGATTTTGTCCCATCATTCATACTGTTGGTTTCTGTGTTTACATAGGATGTCTGGTGCTGCAATAGATAACTTGTGACGATGAACTTTAGCTGGGGAGAATATACCCAATATGGTCAATTCAAAAGATGGTAGGAATATAAATATAAGAAGACAGGCTGGGTGCCGGTGGCTCATGCCTGTAATCCTAACTACTCAGGAGGCTAAGATTTGAGGATCATGGTTCAAACCCAGCCCAGGCAGGAAAACCTGTGAAATTCTTATCTCCAGTAAACCAGCAGAAAACCAGAAGTGGCACTGTGGCTCAAGTGGTAGAGTGCTAGCCTTAAGCTGAGTTGCTAAGGGACATTGCCCAGGCCCAGAGTTCAAGCCCCATGACCAACAAAAAAGAAAAAAAAAAAAACAAGACAGTACTGAGCCACTGAATTAATGAATTCTACAGTTACCCTTGTGCCATGGTTATTATTATGTGAAATAATAAATCTTCCTATCACTGAAATGAGTTGGGCCTTCTATTAATTATACCAAAAAGCAGCCAAAATTATTCATGAGTCCTAAAGGAAAATAAAA